ATTTAGTAGGTGGTCCAGGATGACAATGCTTTAGGCCTTCATCTCCTAAACACAGTAAGCAATTCTTAGGGAAGTGTAGGGTTAAAGAGATTTGGACTCCCATGTCTAAAACCGAAATGGCAGCAGGGAACATGATGGGATGCAAAAGAGATCCCCGCCGTCTAGAGCCTTGCATTATGCATTTTGCTTCCCACTGAAGCCAGAGATCCATTTTTATAGTCAGGTTTGTTGTTCCTGCTGAAACACGGCACATGCTCTGCCTGAATTCTGGCCATGTGTTTCCCCCGTTTAGTTATCTAACTTGTTATCTCCTGACTTCCCATTTCTCTGTGAAAGTCAGGTGTTCTAAGACACCCAAAGAAGAAAATCAGGAAAGGAGAAGGTGTTTGGAAGTAGTTCAGAGGTAGTGGTCTGTGTGTGAAGGGGGCTTTGGAACTGTCCTTGAAAACATATTGGATCCTAGCAGTTTTACTACACTTCATAATGTTTGGGCAACCAAATTGGTCGTGGTGTTAGAATCCTTATAATTGGATGGATCTACGTTATTTTGCTATCTTCAGAGAAATGCATTTTATGAATATTCCTATTTAAAAAGCACAAACAACAAAAACCGATCCCTATTACCCTAACTCCTCCACGCACATAGTATTCTAATGTGGTTTATTCCTGAAACTGACTCATTCAGCTTTTCTCCTGGAAGTTGTCAGAATGTACGCCTGGTTAATGGAGAAAATCAGTGCACTGCCCAGGCTGCACAATGCCATGACTCATTCCTGGCATTTCAGAGGCTTTGTAATGGAAATTGTAGTTCCAAGCTACAGTTCTTACCAAGTGGATATGTGAATGTTAATGAAACAAAGCAAAAGTCTCCGAGGATCCTGCATAACTCTCACCATCGATGTAGTGTTTGCTTGATGAAATGAAGATTTTTGTGGGGTGGATTGTTCCTTTCCATAACCCACACATGCTCAAATACCACAATATTGTTTTAATTAGTCTTATAAAGCATAGTAAAATATTTGGCTTTGGTGAAAGAGGGAAATTCTCTCTTATGTTGGAATTGTTTGGTTAAAAGGGCATTTTTGTCTATTGAATTAGTCTTTCAGGGTTTACAACTAGTATTTGAATGCTTTCTCAATAGCCTCTAATGTCCTTCAGCAATTTGCATTCATTCTTTCTGTCTGTCTGTCAATCATAAAGGAAAAGAAATATCTTGCTTTCCCATCACTAAGTTCATGGCTGAGGCTCCTACAACAAAAGACAAATTTTTAACAAGAAAAACGCATACAAATTGATTTAAATATAAGTTTTACATGACATGGGAGGCTTCAGAAAGAAGACCCAAAGAAACAGAGAAATCTGCATCTTTTTATGCTTAGGTTTGATAAAGAATGCACACTTGTGGTGCAGAAGTATGATTGTAAGACAAAAGGCTGTGATCTAATGGTAATAAACTGAGGGGAACTTAGCAAGGCCTGTTTGATCAGATTCTTCTTGGCATCTCTGTGTCTTTAAAAATAAGGTTGTTCTTTTCCTCCAGGTACAGGGAGAGTACCTCTAGAATGAAGGTTTTATGACCTGCCTCAGGGCAGAAGGGAGGAGAATTTAAAAGTGACCTTCCTAATTCTGTTGTTTTCTGCAGTACCAATGTGCAATCACCATTTACCTGTGTGTGTGTGTGTGTGTGTGTGTGTGTGTGTGTGTGTGTGTCTGTGTGTCTGTGTGTCTGTGTGTGTAGGTTGAGCAGGTTGAGCAGGGGAGGGTATGGAATATCTGATCTTTCAGGAAAGCATGGATAAGTAAAACCCTGCATAATTCCAGCCTTTTATGCTACCTTCAAGACTCAGTCTTGTCTCCCAACTTCATTCAAATCCCATTCCCCTTTCTCTGTGCTGTGTAAGTTTTAAAAATAGTAATAGGCAAGAGATAGCAGGGAAAACAAGGAAGACAGATAGTTCCAACACTTATGTTTTATTGACGCAGGTTTGTCTTTTGTGTATGACAGACTAGTAGGACCTTGGGGAAACTCTCAAATGAGCTGTTTTTTCTCTATCATTTTTGGACACTGGGGCAGGATCACATATTTAAAGTTGTTTTGGGTGATTCTAATGTGTTTACAATGCATTGGACCAAGAATATTCTGGAGCTGCTAAAAAGTAAACATTCAGAAGCAAATGAAGAACATGAACAATATTCCTTATCATTCAGCCAGTTAATTCTGATTCTGGCTTCTCTAACAGCTCCTTGCTATGTGCTCTTAAAACACAAGTGCTAATATTGTGAGAAATGAATTATATGAGAAGCGGTCTCATCTTTTCTAAAAATGCCAATCTGCAACCAAGAATGTGTAAACACGTTCTTCCCTTTCCAGATGATTTGGGATGCCAGGCAAAGACCAAATTTCCGTGGCTGCCCTGAGACCTGCATGGGAGTGGAGATCTTAGCTTATAGGAGTGAAGGTCTGTAGATGAGGGCATCCAAACTGAATGCCTATCATTATACCAGTGCTAAGTCTCTAGATGCACAAACCATTGTTTTCCATGTCATTCTTTGGAAGTGGCAGGTGATAGAAGAGCATCATGTGTATTTTATAATATGAGGAAACTGAGGCATAAGAGATCACATTCCCAGAGTTAGAACCTAGTGCTGTGTTCCTGAGGTCCTGTCTGAAGTTGGGAAACAGCTCTGAACTGACCTTTTTGCATTCATGGTCTCTGCATGGTAACCCTTCCCTCTGCTTATCAAATCATTTCAGAATGTGCAGAGAATAATGCTTCTGTTTGAGACTCTTCAAGAGTTAACAAGAAGATTCCATCTGGGCCTAAGATAGGACATATTGGGATAGTGACCTCGAGGATTTGGAAACAAAATAATGGTAGGATAGGTGTGTGCATCAAGAAAAGATGGAGCATGTATGCTCATAGTCCTACTGGGGCCACACTCCTTATCTTCAGATCTTGGGTGGCTCGTGCCCAATTCCCCCACCATTTATACCCTTGTTGTGTCTGTTGGAAAATCTCACAGGCTTGCCTGAGGTCACTGCATTTTTCTTCATACAGAAATCTTTTCTTAGGCTTCATATAGTTGTAGACTAAAAACTATACACATGAAAATTAACAGTACTGCTTTTAATAAAACTGCCAGCTTTTCTATTTGAAAAAAAAAATCTATTTGAAAAGAAAATAAAAATTATTAAAACAGTGCATGGTGAATTGGGCCTTAATTGCCACTCATTTTTTAATACATCTGCTGTGGAGTTGCTTCTTGCCAATGTGGTGTAATTTTCAGGTCTGTTACTGAAAGATAGACTGCATACGTTTCTGGACTGTGAGTAGATAATGTTGAGGGTTGCAGTGTGGGTATTGGGGCTATTCTTTCCCTGTGTCATTACTTTTTGATATGTTTGTTTCAAAAGAAAATTAATGAAATTTAAATTACTTAAATTTGGCCATATTTGTTAAATACCCTCTTCTGAAAAATTGAAAAGTGACTATTAGTTGAAACAAGATCAAGAAACTTCCAGCACATTCCTGTTTATAATGTTAAGGTTTTAAGAAAGCTTAAAGTAACCAGCATCACTGGTAGTTAATAAAGCAGTTTATATTTTTACTTTATTTTCTTCAGAAGCTTGTTGCCATGTAGAGTAAAAGAAACCTCATGTTGTTAATCTTTGCAGAGGACACTGCCAGTAAGAGTGTTGTTATTGTTGGATAATCATAATGGTATGTTCTGGAGTCTCTTCTCCCCTCGCCCGACACACCCAATTCACTCCCACCCTGCCAGCGGAGCCAGGGAGAGAAGAAGAAAGCAATATTTTATTTTCTTTCAGAATTTGATTCTGTATTGCTTTGGACACATGCTGGGATTTGCTCTTAAACTATTATTAAATTTCTAATGTCTGTCAAGGTTTAGATTTTTTTGTGAGAGAACCAAGAGGAGAAGTGAAACTGTCAGGCTTCACGGTGCAGACCTCTCTTCCAGCAAGCATCAGCTTAGCCTCAGCAGTGAGCTGGCGGGGGACCAGCTGTTGGGCTGGGAAGCTGGAGTTAGGCTGCAAAAAGAACCCCTCCAAACCCCCCAACCACCATGTGTCACTTCAGCACGAGGAGCCTCAGTTTCCTCACCACAGTCCCACTTGTCTTGCATTTGAGATTAGAAAGAGATTTTGCAAACTTTTTAGAAAAGTACTCCACAGAGGACAGATACTAACAAATCAGACACGAAAGCAGAGATTAAGTAGGTAAATGTGATTGTGTATGTGTTTATTGATCATTATGCTCATGAGACACTGATTATTTTACTTTATTTTTCTTTTTGGAGATGGGGACTTGCTCTGTCACCCAGGCTGGAGTACAATGGCGTGATCATGGCTCACAGCAGCCTCGAACTCCCTGGCTCAAGCAATTCTCCCACCTTGGCCTCCTGAGTAACTGGGACTACAGGCATGCACTACTATGCCCATATAATTTTTAATATTTTCTATAGAGACAGGTTCTCCTTCTGTTGCCCAGGCTGGTCTCAAACTCCTGGGCTTAAGTGATCCTCCTACCTTGGCTTCCTAAAGTACTGGGATTACAGGTGGAAGCCACCACGCCCTGCCTTTTAGAAAACTTTTTTAGTTTAATTAGTTTTTTGATAGAGCCCAAAATGAAAACACTGCAGGGAGATGAGTTTAGCAGGGCTTAAGTTTAAACAAAATAAGAGTTGGAACTCTCCCAAAAGATAAGCAGTATAAGTAAGCTGTGACAGACCACTGCTCGGGAGGATGGAAAGATTTACGACTGCTGCAATATCCCACTTCAGAAGGAAATGCAGAGCCATTGAAGACAGACTACAAAATAATTACGCTATTATAACATGCAGTACACAGGACCAGGACTGGCCTTACAGAATGTAAGGATGAATATTATGAACATGTGCCCGAGATGGGGATTTCATTAAAGCAGTGTGTGATTCGGGAATCTCTGGGTGAAGAATAAGCCCCTGTTCTCATCCCACAATGTGGCCTTTAATGTTTGGGGTCATGGGGAGTCTGCTGTGTTTGCAGAAGGATCTTGGGGTATGAGTTTTGTAGGGGAAGATTCCAGAAGTCATATTCCCCAGACTCAAAAAGCAGCAGAAGTAACCAGAGCTTGCTGGATTCCATGTTGGCCTCCTGTCTCTACTGTTTCATTCCATTTTCACTCCTCTGTTGCCTTTCTATCTTCCCTGAGCCATGCCTATGTAGGAGGTGGTCACAGAATAATAAGAGGGTTACCTTGTGGCAGTTGAGCACTGGTACTAATGGTAGCCACGTGACAAACACACCACCCCATCTGGGTCCCAAACTCTCAATCAGTGCCCCTCTCTGCATATATCCCATTGAAAGCTCGTTTTGTGAATCTGACATTTCCCAGCTCCTAAAAACCCTGTTGATAATCATGCTTGCTGATCCTTGTCTATACTGTATTTGAAGCATTTACTTAGGCATACACACCTCAGCTTGTACCAAAAAGTATGTAAGAGGGGAGTTTCTGAGCACATAATCCAGTCTCCAAGGTGTTCTGCTGTGGATCCGCACTCTGACTATGGCTGTGTCCTCAAAACAGTAAAAAGGTAATGCAATGGAAGATAAACATGTATCAAATTAAAGTGTAAAAGCAAGTAGAGGCCAAATTCCTACACTATCAACATAGGCCAGCTCTGTTTTTCAGGCATTCAGTGACTTATGCTTACGCAATGCTATATGTAGAGGCCTGCTGAAAGAAAGGAAATGAATGAACAAGGACAAAAACTAGTTTTGGTGTTGCTGATATCTGAATAACCAATCCTGTGTTCGCTGCAGCCAGCATATTGTTCTCTCCCATTGCTGGCTGCTGTGCAGTGCTTCCCGTGACGGGGCCCTCCCTGGAAAGCTGTGCGCCCTGCCTGGTTCTTGAGGGACAGAGTGTATACTGGCACTCTGGGCTTCATGGGCTCAGGCTCCGTTATCTACAAGTGTGCAGAATACCAAAGGAGGGCCGTCATCTCTCAGTCATCTCCTTCCCAGGTACCCCTGAAGGGTTCCTGTGGGGGATGGAATAGAGGGTGGCATTGGATCTCAGGATGATCCTTGTAGGGATGGCTGAAAATGCAGGCCACTGTGCAGCAGGATAGTGCCTGAGGCACAGGAGCATGCCAGGGTTAGTAAGAGTCATGAATACTCTCGTTTCTGTCTCAGAAGACCCAAGTGGATGGCAGAGATGCCTGGAGCCAAACACAGTCACATAGGATTTCTAAGATCATCATGAGAAGGGCTAGTTCCAACAAAGGTTGAGGAAGAATGCTGGTCCTGTGATCAGGAGTCTAGAATGACCTTTTTTCTATCAGATCTATAACTATCCATGATACATCATGGAGAATCAGTCCTGAGCTTGATACATTCCTACATCAGAACCTGCATACATACAAACTGATCCCCTTCCTGGGAGAGCTCCGAGTAGACTCCTCTATCTCCATAGTTTGGATCAGATGTAGATTCCTTCCTGAAGACCACCTGTCTCGTGAAGGAGGAGGAGAAGGTGGCACAGGAGTCATTTTAAATGGATTTTAAAGTGATCATTTGAGCCATAAAAAAAAATACAAGTTTTTATTCTTCAAGGCAAAAGCCTTTTTCAAGCCAGGTGATTAAAGTCTAAATTGCTCTCCACAGGAGAACAGGAGGCATGTCTCCAGATAGATCCAGGTGGGCACAGTCTTAGTGAGGGGTAGATGTATGAGATCATCCGTATAGGATCCCGAAAGCTAAAAGGCTCACAGGAAAGGGAGTTTTCAAACCCCATCGTTTCAAACTCCCAGTAAAATATTGCCATAGAAAAGAGTTTTCCAAAGTCAACCCATTACTGGCTCAGATATTAATAGAAAATCAGGAGTCAAGAAGAGGAAGAAGGTAGAGATTTTAAAGTCAGACCTGGTTTTAATTTATTTGTGGTTATTCTAACTAGTAAATGAAACAAACTCCCCCTCTGGTGCCCTGTCCCAGGCATAAATTGCTCACCCATCGGAAAGGAATTATTTTTTTTCAAGGGTGCTACCTAAAAGACATTAGTTTAGCAAATTAACCGACATTCCTAGAAAAGCTGCATGCTCTTGCCAATAAATATTTACGGAGTTAGTGAAACCTCTAACAGCACCCCCAAATCACTGGGCCACTTCCAAAGGGGGAGCAGCTTACTTTCAGGAAATGGATTACTCACTTGTGGAATGAGACCAACACCCAGGCTACTCAGTTTCAACACACTTTAAAATGCAAAAGAGAACTTTCCTGCCTCAAGCTCTCAAACCTTTTCCAGATGGACTGAGGCGGGTGAACCCATTGTGATGCCCAACAAGGCTGGCTTAGGCTGGGGCTGCACACATCTGGATGTGCCTCCCATCCCTGCCCTGCACACCACACCATGAAGGCAGTTACAGGTTTGTGATGGGTTGCTGATAAGAGGCATCCCCGAAGGCCTGCCCTGTTTCCATTGGCCAGACACCCCCGGGGAAACAAGAAGTCTATGGAAAGACTGAATTGTTCAACTGAGTGCTGCCCCCTCCCCTCGAGGCTGTTGCCAATTTCACTTCTCAGCTGCAGCTGCCCACAGTTGTCTGGGAATGGAGCAGCATCAGGGTAGTAGGGGGGCACATGCTTTTTGTTCCAGACCTGGGCATTTGCCCTGGTAGCCAGAGCAGGCAGGCTGTAGGCCTGCTCTGTGCCACATTTGACTGGGGGTTAAGCCGGGTGCCTCAGGGCAGGACCTGGGAGGAGAAGCTGAGTGCAATCCAATTCAGTTCTGGGTACCAGGTTTGCAAAGAGGCATGAAGTGTAGCCAGAGGAGGGTGGCCAGGAAGCTACAGGGGCCTGGAAATCACACCACCCAAAGATTATTAGAAAAACCTCGGGACTGTTAACCTAAAAAGGATTTAGATGAATGGCTCTCTTCCCCTAGAGGGAAAGTAGATTGTCTTTTGGTATTTGTTTTTATCATAGTAAAATATACATAACCTAAAATCTGCCATTTTAATCATTTTTAAGTATACAGTTCTGTGGCATTAATTGCATTGCCAATGTTGTGTGACCATCACAGCTATCCACTTCTAGAACTTTATCATCATTCCAAATAGGATGTTATTAAACAATAACTCCCCCTTCTTCCTGCCTCCTAGCTCCTGGCAGTCACCATTCTGCTTTCTGACTACTCAAGGGACCTCATACAAGTGGAATCATACAGTATTTGTCCTTTTGTGTCTAGCTTAATTAACTTAGCACAGTGTCCTTGAGGTCCATCTATGTTATAGCATGTGTCAGAATTTCCTTCCTTGTTAAGGCTGAAGAGGATTCCATTGGGCATATATTCCACATGTTGTTTACCTATTCAGATTGTTGTTGGACGTTTGGGTTGCTTCCACCTTATGACTTGTGAAGAATGCTGTTATGAACATTGGTATGCTAGTACTTGTTCATAGATTTTTTTCTTTGTGGTTTCAGAAAAACTGATCTTAGCCAAATGGTTAGAAGTTGCAGAGAAGCTGATTGTGGCTTCAGTAACCCCAGCTCTCTTCAATGGTGGAAAGGTGGAAAAGCTCCCCATGGTTGGCAGTTGTGTGTGGTAAGAACACTTAAAACCAGAACAGGCAGAACAAGGAAATCTCTGAGGTCCCTTCCATCTCCAGAGTTCTATGATTTTCAAGCAGATTGAGGTATGTATTCTAAGGGTAACATCTGGAGAAAAAGAAAGTGGTGTCAGATCAGCTTCAGTTTCGTGAGGGAGAAAAGAGGGAAGTGGGGTGGTAAATTATCTACCAGTCAGGAGAGGTTACTTGCTAAACTATCTCCAGCCTGGGCTTGAGATCAGATACTGATGCTGCTGTGAAGCTCATACAAAGGTCCTATATAGTCTCAGGGAGATCTTCCAGAGCTCCAGAGAAAGCTTTCTAGTACTCTGGCTTCCTGGGGGGAGGGTGGTGAGTCCAGTTTTCTCAGCACAAATCCCTCATGTCTGCCTGGAAGGAAGGGACGTCCCTTTGGGGGAACTGAGCCCTGTCTCCCTGCGGGTTATGCTGAATGCAGGTGAGGGGGTGGGTGAAGACGAGCTTATTGGGTTGGGAAGTTTCAGGAGTGAATGTTGGCTGAGGTGGGGATGCCCTGGCTCCCAACAAAATTAACTTCATTCTGCTACAGTTGGGGGTTTTCTTATTATTAGTTGGGAAGGCCTAGCCAGAGAATTCCAGTATTCCAGAGCAAGTTTAATTGTGGGTGATTTCATTCTGCCCTTTTTATGTCGAAGCCAGGGGCTTGCGTCATATAACAGTGAATTCAGGGAGATTTTTATTTGCATGTGAATCATAGCTTTTCCAGCTGAATGTCACTTACTTGGAATTTTTGTCTGATTTTGTTTTTGTTTTTGTCTCTTGGTGTTTTTCCATCGGGCTCTTTGGCTAACCAGAAAAAAAAAAAAAAAATAGAGGAAGGGCTCAATCTGACTGAAACAGGGTTTGAGTTGGCAACTCAAAAGGAGAGTATTATGAATGTGAAAAAAAGAAAACGGATGCTTTATTTTGCTTTGAGGGAGGGACCAAAGCCAAGTCAAATTGAGAGCTCTAATTTGGGAATAGTGTTATTACAGGTCATTGAGAGTTGGTTACGCGCTAAATTGGGAGGCCAGTCACATGAGGAGGCAGCAGAGGCAGATCACATGGGGGACGGTTGGGGCCCTTTTACAATGAAATTTCATTTTATTTACTACACAGTTGAAATGTATTTATGTCATTTTGAGAAACCAAGTCACCTTATTGGCTGGGAGTTGCTCCCTGCCCTGGCCCGTCAGTTGTTTGATAAATAAGCCAGTTCTTCCAGTCTTTGTGCTTTCAGGGGTTTGATTTGGCAGTGAGATCTGTGCAGTGATTCGTGGAGCTGGCCCTGTGATAGCACTTATACATCTGCCCTTCTTCACCTGTCTGACTCCAAGGGGCTTGCTCCCCTCTCCTCCAAAGGCTCTACCCGTTTTAGACCTCAAGGACATTCAGTTAACTTCTCACATTATATAAAGAAGTGATGACCTTTGTTTTTGTAGATTATCTTCCATTTTCTCAGCACTGTTCTGCTTAATGTCATCTTGCAAAATAAGTACAAGAAAAGATGCATCCTGCCCCTCCACAGGCAGTTATGAACCAAGTATTTCTTCCTTCCTCCAAACTGCAGACTTTGGATGTTCTCAGCATCTTGGGGAGGACCAGGAAGGGACTGGTGTGTGGTCAGCTGCTGATTTCCCTTGAAAAATCAAAGTTGGCTTTCTTGGTGTCCAAAGCCCTGATGAGTTAGCTGTGTTTGAAATAAAAACAAAACAAAACAAAAGGCAGCCAAAAAAGAATATCTAGAATTCAGTTAATTCATTCCCCGTGCAAACAAGTTGTGCTCATGCTCCTAAATGGGGTATGTTACTAAGCCGGTGACACAGAGTCTGCTGGTGCTGCTGAAGCATCTGGGCCGGCGATGCTTGTGATTGAGGTTAGGAATAGAAGGTGTGTGGAAACTTTCTATAAAAGGCAGCCAGGTCCCCTGGACAAGGGGTCAGGAAGCTCCAGTACCATTCATGGTGTCACCAGGGCATTACTGCATGATTGGGGGCAAGTTTCTCTGTGCTTTGGTGTCCCCTAAGTGCCATATTGATTTGGGAAAAGGGTAAGGGCCTCAAGAAATGTTTCCGATGTAAGATGTTATCAGATAACTGGAGGGAGTGTGGTATCACAGGAGCTGAAATCAGGGCCACGTGCCCCTTTCTCCGGCTGCTGTCCTTTCTCAGGCATTGCCCTCTGTGGCTGATGCCTCTGACATCACAATACCCAGCCAGACACTCAGTAGTGATGAGCTGTGCCCAGTAGACACCAGAGGAGGGAAGAAAAGGAGAAGGACAAAGTGGAGAGGGAAGAGATGGAGCAATCTCTTATGTGATCATTCCACCAACTCGCAAATTTTTCACCTAGCACCTGGTTCAACTGTAATGTGCTCAGCTCCATATAACCTGGACAGCAGCTGTGCCCTCACCCCCAAACTCAGCGAAATATTACGGTCCCCTAATCAAGATAATTTTGCTCCTGTTAACGCATGTCCTGTGGTTCATCGTCAGACCAGTGAGTTGATACCAAACTTCACCAGACGGCTCTCCGGAGCAACGGTTTAGAGGTAACGTACTGGCTCTGATGCCCAGGCTTCCACAGACTCATCTCAACTCTCCTCCTCAGAGCAGCACAGAACTCCGGGGATTGTGTGGGGGTGGTTTGTGAGGGTGTGAGCCTGTGGTAAAGATGCTTTAAAACTGAAATTCTCACCTTCGTTTGATTCATGAGCCAGCACAGGCTTGGCCAGACTTTGTTTATTCTTATGGCACTCTTTAAACCCAAATGGGCCAAATCGTGGCTTCCCTGTCTATCCTTAGATGCAGCGATTGCTGCTTTTAACTGGCTAGATTGCTATGAATAGAAAACTTGAGAGATCAGCCCTATCTTAGAAATATTATGACATTTTGCATATTTATCGTTGACTTAAAAAAAAAATCCAACAACTTCCTCTAAAAATAGGTTCTTGCCACTCTTTGAACCACTTTCTCCTGGCCCTTCTCCTGGTAAGAAATCATGTTTTCCACCTGGTTTCACATCAGCCTTCCCAGATGCTTCAAATGCTATAAATTAGAGGGTATGATTTTCTCGGGTTCTCAAATTTGACCCTGGATCAGAATCACCTGGGGGCTTGTTAAACACAGTTTCTGATTCAGGAGATCTAAAGAAGGGGTCCCAGAAGTTGTATTTCTAACAATTTTTCTGGCAGGCCCCTCCTCCACACATTGTGAACCAGTGTCTTAGGGCTTTTGGGCCTCCCTCCCCTGCCCCATCCTGTAGGAGAGAGCCCTATGGAGCGTGATCCTGGTCCCTTAGATTGTTGGTGAGCAGCTAACAACTACATAGTACTCACCATGGGCCAGATGATGGTCCCATGCTTTACAAAGATTAAATAATTCAGATATTGCCAATCTTAGGAGGTAGCCCATTTTCCAGATGGAGGAACTGAAGCACAGAGTGGTTAAGTGAATTGCCCAAGTTCACACAGCTCACTCAGTGGAAGCGCAGACAGCATGACTAGCGTCTGTGCTCTCATTCCCCACACTTTATTGTCTTTCTGCTTTCCCCAAGTCACTTACAGCACCTGATACTCCTACAGTTCTTGGGAGTGAATACCTTAGAAAGGTGCCCTCAAGACAACTGAGCCCATCTTAGGTACTAACAACCAGCATCTTGGGCTCCGAGTCTCT